TTGACTATAAACCTCTTTTGACTCTTGTTATTTTTCAAAAAATTTTGTTGTTTTCATGAGAAACCCGAATAACTTGAGCATGCGTTGCAACTGTTATTTAAAATTATAAAAAATTCAAATAATGGCTATGAAATTAAATGTCAAAAAGTTATAACAACAATAATTAACCTAAACCATGGTTAAATAGAAAAATAAGCAAGTTAAACAATAGCACTGAATTATTTGCACTGACAAGTTACAGAAATTTTTCTCGTAAAAAATTTAATTTGCTTTCTTGATTGTCGAGTCTGACTTTAATTTCATAACCAACGTTCGAATTTTCGATAATCTTAAAGAATACAGCTGCAATACATGCATTTAGTTATAAAGGGTTTTGGAGACGACAAGGTTTTTGGAAAATAAAGGTAAAAAAAAGCTTAAGAATTAAATTCTACATAAAATAAAGCAGTGATTTTTCAAGTCTTGTTAATCGATGGTAGGCATTAAGCGACTCAAACTGTATTGGTTATATCAAATCAAATTACTCCAAGGGCGGCGCTATTAAATTTTTACCGCTGCTCCGCTCGCGTGGTCATAAGTCTTGCATCAGTTTGAAGGAGATTAGCGTCGGAGAAATAAATGCCATATTTAAAGTAATGCAATAGTTACTGTGGTAATAGATATCTTTTATTCGACATTTTAATGCAACAATATATAAATGTACATGTCTCTTCAGCCTGTCAGGATCACATCAATCTGAACCACAATTACAATGAGAGACCTAAAAATGTGTACACTCCCTAATTTATACCAGAGGAAGCTTATAGGTATATTATTCGCGAACTAGTACTCGTAATGTTGGCTATATTTGCAGGGTGTCTATAAAGCCTCGTACAAGCCGAGATTCCAACGCACGTCAAGACAGATTTGGTTACAGATTTGGTGTCTACGGCGCCGTAGTCTAATTATATTAGTTGGCGAAATAATTGTAAAGTCTGGTTTTATTGCTGCAAGTTGTTTAAGGGGTTATTCAAAACATAGACGCATAAAATGGGTACACCAGTTTTTGTGGGAAAATTTTTCATTCGACAACAAAGAATGAGAAAAAGTGTTTTTTGGGATTCAATCGAAAGTGTTGGTAGAAACAAACAAACTATCCATATAAGATCTTTAGGTATTTATTAGACCTACAAAATTGGACTAGATTGGTTTGTTTTCCGACCATCACTACTAGTTTATTGAGCAATATACATAGTTAGTTGAAAGGGCATTTTATAGCAAAATACACTAGTACACCTTGCCGATATGAATCGCAAACCATTTCGGAAGGTAAATGTTATTTTTATGCAAAAAAGGATGGGTTGCGTTTTTTCTTCTAAAAAAATTCAATCATTTCGTATTTGTGAATTCACAACAAAAGATGATAGACACATCCGCTTTGTTTTAAAATGTATATATGTAGTAACGAATGTTTCTCGAATATCGTGGCGCATTTGTTCAATTACTCACAAATACGAAATGTTTGATGTTGTTTAGAAGAAAAAATGTAACCTTTGATTTTCGCATAAAAATAACATTTATCTTTCGGAATGGTTTGTGATTCATATCAGCAAGGTAAACACGTGTATCTTGCGAATAAATGCTCTTTCAATATTGCTCAATAAAGTAGTAGTGATGGTCGGAAAACAGGTGTTTTGGGATAAACAATTAGAAATCCTCAAAAAACTACTTGACCAATATGCTCCAATTTTGTTGTTGTTATTTAGAAGTGTGAATCCTACGAATTTGAAAAATTTCAAGTAGTTGCGTGAAATTATCGTCGCATTATCAACAAGTACCAAAACCTGCATTTTGCCTCGTTTTTCGGCCATAACATTTTTGCTATTAGTCGGATATTTTCACGTGTGATCTCATTTTGTAGGTCTCTTAAATACCTACAAATATTTGAAGAGTTTTGTCGTTCGTGCCAACACTTTAGATTGAATCTCAAAAAACACGTTTGCTCATTCTTTCTTATCAAATAAAAAGTTTTGCCACAAAAATTGGTGTACCCATTTTATGCGCTCATGTTTTAAATACTCGCTTGAACAACTTGCACCAATGAAACCAGACCTTACAATTATTTCGGGGAATTTGCAAATTTGATTATACTAGCGAGCTAACAGAAGCCAACGGTTTCCAAGGTCGGCGTTGGCGTTTGATTGCGTTCGCTCCTTGATCGGTACATCAAAGGGAGGTTTGATTTGGTCTGGACAGGATTTGTTGCATTTCTATTATTTAGTCGGTTGTCTGCATTCGATGAGAGGAGACTCATCGCTCGACATTAGCACCGAACTTAAACCATCTCGGTCCAACTCGACCAACAACAACGTCACATGTGCTTGAATTCGTTTGGTCGGCGTAGGATCTTCGGTCTGTACGCTTCTTAAAATATTCAAAAACCCGGAAATCTTGATCCACGCATATCGTTGGAAACAGGATACATTCATACACTTCCAACACCAGTAGTTTTACGCTCAGCTCCTATCACTACATATTTGCTTCCAAAACACAGTACTGTACCATGACGAACAAGAAGTGTCCTAGCGCTTATCCGGTTTCGATCAATGGCCGAGTTCTGCATTTTGGCTGGTCGGAGCCCAGATCACCGAAGACTTGATCTGACACGAACATATCTCGGCAATAGCGGCAGCTGCTGGGAAAAAGCTAGGCTATATTTATTCAGGGCTTAGGCCCGTATCGTCAGTCGTCCCTACAATTGTAGGGCGCCTTTATGGCCTCCTTGATTGTCATAGTGTTCTACTTCTCCGTGTCAGCGCTCTATTTTGAGGTTATGTCACAAACATCTATTTTCATCAAATTGTGCTTGCTTTTGAGTTATATCATGTTTTATCAGCCTGAAATTTCCTACAATTTAAAAAGAAAACATATCTTCACAATAGGAGAGCGCTGACGCTGACACGGGACAAGTGTAATCTAGAAATGTTTGAAGGAGAGAAAGGAGTATGACAATCAAGGAGGCCATAAACGCGCCTTACAATTGTAGGGACGACTGACGATATGGGCCTAAGAAGTACTTTTTTCCACATGACCTCCTCACTCTGTACAAGGCTCAGTTAAGATCCTACCTCGACTGTTGTTCACATGTTTGGGGTGCTGAGTCGCCCTGACTACATGATCCATGTTCAATGCTGTTCAGCTGTCCTCCAGCGATGCTTCCGCACCATGTGCCTGCCAGACAGATCCGCCTCCCATCCTATCCGTCGCGAACCTCGTACATCCAGAATTGGGAGATACGACCATTCCTTTGTCCTTAGGGTATTTAGGCTTCTGCCTGCGCGGCTGCCTTAGAGTGTAAAATAAAATAAAAATTTCTAGTCCTTTTAAACCGATGACAGCGTTGCGTGTAAAGTGTAGAGTCAACCTTCTTGACGCCATTCTTTTAAATTGTTGTTTTAAATTCTTATATCAAACTTTTCTATTTAAGCTTTTAACAATGCAATCAAAAACAATCATCACTCCTATTAGAGTTGCAAGAATGATTATACAGTATTCCTTACACAGCATTGTATACTGTAAGAACATTGGAAAAACCCTCTTAGAACAGCTATACAAACGGAATGGGCACACCTAATAGGACACTTCAGTCATTTAGGAGGTTGTATAAGGATGCAGGTAACAGTTATACAACAGAAGTGTAAGCCTTTTGCAGCCGCTATAGGACATCTACGTCAGTGCAGGATTCAGTTCTTGTCAACTATACAACTATTCTGTTACGTGATTCTACTTTATTGCAACCAAACTATTTCTTATGTCTTGTATAGACGAAGTGAATAATATATAACTAACACATTACACTCATCTTGCTTACTTACATATCGGCCATTGTGAATTTCATACACAGGTATATGATAAACTTCTACACTGTGATATAGGGCTATTGAATTACTTGCGCAGCAAGTTTTATTGTGATTATTGTGCAAAGTAGTTATGCAATTTCTACGGGCTTCGTATTTGATTCATATTTTAGTAATGATCAAAAGCATGTCTAGATTTTTAAGATGGAAAACTGAACTTATCTGCGTTAAATCTTCCACAAATCCTATATTTAGACACAATTACACTAATTTTTATCACTTTATATCTGTAATTTCGAACTGAAACATAATTATTTAATATTAAATAGAGGAATAAGTGTTTTCCCAATATGGCGGGTGGTTGTGTATAATCATGGCATCGTCTATGTTGTCTTCAGTTTATTAGAATATTTTGGTGTTGCCTGCAGGTGTTATACAACAATTTGACAAATGTCTGAAAGGAAATACCGACAGAGTCGAATGATTTACCCAGAATTTGTACCGGATCTATATCTTCTGTTTGAACAGTTGATAAACCCTTTTGACCCAATATGCATGCGTTGTTTGACTTAAAACATTGGTTATGGCATTTTAACAAAAATATGACAGCAGAAAGTTAGGTTATGGTGAAGTTGTATACCAACATATTTAGTAACAAATGTATGCCGAGCACTAAACAACAGTTGTATAAGTGCTTCCATTGGGAGCAATTTGTTGGCTAAAGTAGTAAATTTGCACAGCTAAACAACAAAGCTCGTTTTTTTTTATAAACGTTACCATGATTGCCACTTCACAACTAACGTGCAAATATGCCATATGAAATAGTTGTATAAACGTTTATGCAACAGTTAAAAATGTGTCCTATAAGTTTTAGCTATAGCTATGCTATAAGAATATTTTAATCACCTTATTTTAAAGCAAATATGTTGCAGAAAGCAAATTTGCATTCCACACAACATTAAGCCAGCATTTTGGTGTTCAGGCATCAACAATAGAGAGCTTTTATGGCTGAACGGTTCTTTTACCAAAAGCTTATAGCACTTCTTTGCTAGTTGGGCTATGCAACCGGTACGTTTTGAGTCACCATGTAGAACCCGTCAGGATGCGTGAATGGTATGGCGCCGCAGGACAATTGTCCTGCAGGACGCAAGCGTCGCAGGATAACGGAAATTTTCCTGCTGCTGGCAGTTGATTTTAACAAACACATACACAGGGTTGAGTTGCGATGCAGTACTAAAAAGTCATGGAAAACGGTAATGGTGCCAAAATGACGGCACTTCGTGTAGAATTTTCGATGTGATCGTAGGATTAAGCTGTAGTTTTAGTTTACTGGTGATATTCAAACTTCGCGGTTACAGATGGATGTAGTGGCAACTTTTTAAGTACGTGAAAATGGTTATTATATCAGAAAACGGCAGTATCAATGGTTAGTATCCCTTTAGATAATCTTGATGTTATAAGTTCCTTTGGAGTTGGAGCAGCAGGATTATGTTATGCCCTCAATTCAATATTTACTTATTAAGAGCTCAGTGTGTCAATAGAGTAGCACAACCAAGTAATAATCTCAAATAGTACTATGCTCAAAACACAACTTTATTTTGATACAAATAAGGATATAATGGAGGAAATGGAGTCAGCTTCGTAAATGGAAAAAGTCCTTTGTATTCATTCACCAGTGACCTACTTTTGGATACATTCACGACTGAAATCAGATATGCTCAATGTGAGTTACTGTATGAGGGTCGCTAGAAGCGGCTGAATTCATTGATTGTGCTTTGAAAAAGGAATTCGTATGAAAATGACTAGAATGACCCAAATTGAGACATATGTTGGTCTATATCTTTGATAATCCTACTTATTTTTGCTGTTATGTGTTTAGTAACAAATTCAATGAATTGTAATTAATTAACAACAAATGGCTGTTGATAAAAAATTAAATTACACATACGTTTTCCATTATTACTATTCGAACACTAGTTGCTTGGGTTCCAGTTTCTACAGTTTTTCATACGATGTTGCCAGATTGTGGTTGTGAAATAATTGCCCTTAGTTATGGAAATTTTGCAACAAAAAATTAATGAGATTTGACATTGAACTTGAACTTGAACTGGTTATAGTCATAAATTAATTATTTTTGGAGTTTTCTCAGACGTGTGACGTTTTAATTGAGGCGGGAAGGAAAGGAAACTTTGCAGTCACTCAAAAGATTGGCTTTTTATCGCCTTCAGCACAGAATCTTGCACGACAGCATCATACGAGCAGAGCCTAATATACGGAAAGGATTTATACACCTCCTAGGTTAGGTTAGGTTTCTTGTGAGTGCATCAATCAATCCTCCACTGCGACTGTTTGTAGCTCACTCCTATTTATACTTCCCCCAGTAGCTCCGACCTCCAGAGGAAGTCGATTAACTTGTTTGGAGAAACATTCTTCTCGTCTTCTGCTTGGAGTACTACGTCGTCAAGTATGTTCTGGAAATTGCAGGGCATCTGCACAATACATGCCCGACCGTTTCATCTACCTCCATGCACAGTCTGCATTCAGCGTCTTCCGCCATGCCCAGCCTGCTCATGTGGTGACGCAATTTGCAATGACCAGTGTACAGTTCTCCTAGAGCTTTGAGGCTATTCCTGTTCAGCTGAAGCAAAGAGTCAGTTACCTCTCTTGGCAAGATTGGGATAACCCTGCTAGTCCCTCTCAGTATTGATGGACCTTTCTGTCTATCTCTGCAGAAATTATTTGCTGGCTCAGGCCCTATGAAGGGTGTGCTAGCTCCACTCTTTGCCAGAATGTCAGCTGTCTCGTTTCCCTCTAGACCTGTGTGTCCTGGTATCCATATGAGACGGTCTTCATTTCCCTCTCCTGTACCACCGAGAGCTTCTTAGCAATTCCACACTAATTTCGATGTCGAGTACGTGGAGTCAAGTGCTTTAACTGCGGCTTGACTATCTGAAAAAATAATTACAGTTCTATGTCTCAGTTGTCATTTAGCGATTTAGCGTGTATGCACAGATATCTTTCCAATTCAGGTGAACTTGCTGTTCTCACTCATTCCTGTGTGGATTTGTCACTGAGTAGGGTTTAGCATATTTTGTTATCTTTGGCATTATATCAGAAGGCATTCCCAGACTGGGGTGGCTTTGTAAGTTCACCAGCATATCCGTCTCCTCCATAGTGATATTGTCCATTATACCATCTGCCACATGATGCAGTCTATAAGATGTCCTTTTTGCCTCCATAGCTGCAGTTGGTTTGGTACGAAAGGCACCAGTGATCAACATACAAGCTTCTCTCGATATTGCGCTCAGCTTGGCTTAGACAGTTCTTTGTGCTGCCTTGCCCCACAAAGCTACAGATCCATAGGTTATCATAGGTCTAACGACCATGGTATAAAGCCACAGCATTCTTTTAGGCTTCATTCCCAAGTTCTTTCCACAGACCCTTCGGCAATTCCATAGCGAGATCCTTGCCTTCTTAAGGACTGCTTCAAGAAGCGAATTCCAGTTTAGTGTTTTATCTAAGATTATTTCTAGATATTTCACCTCTTTTGCAAACGGTACATTTTCAGCTTGAATTGTTGGAGGTTCAATCCCATCCAGTTTTCTTTTTCTGATGAAAGATACGATGACTATTTTTTCGCACCAATCCGCTATTGCGGTTAACACCTCCTGGAGTGTTCCAGAGATATGTACACCTCCTAACGTGTGTCCTAAAAAATTTGGTACAAAATTGATTGGCTTTAATATTAACAAACACAAAATAATATCAACTTGCCTTTGGATACAAAAGTTTGTTAACTTACGTTACTGTCAGTTGACATTTATTTATTTTGAAGTCTTCAAAGCTGAAATCTGTCGAATAACCATTTATCGAACAATATCGGAGATCGAGCAGTTGGATCTTGTATGGGTGTAGGTCTAGATCAACATGTAAAACCCCCCATAATGTTGTTGGCCTGATGTCCAATTCTTGCTTCATACTTATTCACGTGTACGTACCGGACGGGCATGTTGATATGTTCTACGACCTTCAACTGATCCAGTTTCTTTAAAACGATTGATAATCCACCGAATTCCACGCTCTGTGGGACGATTATGTCGACCAAATTCATCACGAAGTTTGCGAAAAGTACTTTTCAAAGATCGTCCGTTTTCGTAATATTTTTGGACGACCAAAATGCGTTCTTGCGTTGTTAAAGAATCCATAATAACAAATGGCAGGCCTTTGAAAGTTTATATGTGATAAACACATGGCAGTTGACACATTTTACATGCCAAAAAATGGTAGTTGAAAAAAGAATCAATAGATGGAACACCCTTTACTTTGGTCCTTGGGTCTGAAAATTAGGTCAGTCGACTATTATGTAAATACTCATCTAAAATAACAATATCAAGTTTCAGCCTTTAAACATTAGATAGCTTGCTAAATTGTGTGCCCTTTATTTCTTCGATAAATGGAACAAGAATGCTCAGATATACATACGTCTGCTGTATTCACGTTAATATGAGTACTCGTATATGCCTTATATCGATCAGATTCTTATAATATAAATAAACTAAGATCTTTTATAAAGTCCTATTGATGAAATATATGTTTATGTAAGATATAAAGGAATTTAATAAACTAGTTAGATACTAATAAGAAGCGAAAAATAAAAAAATATATTTTTAAAAACAAGCTTTTTTTAATAAATCCAACTAAAAATTTAAAAACAATTTTTTCCATTAGAAATATGCCGTTTTATAGATACCTATTAAACTTTTAATGATGATATAGTCTTAATTTTTCAAATAAAAGCGTGTTATATTCTGACATTGTGCTTCAATATGGTTTGAAGCTAACGAAATATAAAACAGCATATTTCCATGCGGAAAAAATATTAGCGTTTTCATTAACGACCGAATAATAGTTTGTTTTTAAAAAAAATCTTTTTTAATTTAATCTATTTATTTCTCGAATCGGTGATTATTTCATCCACAAAAATACAATTTCTCTTAAATATTTTTCCTATCAAGACCGAATTTAGGAAAAGCGTTTCATACTTTAAGGACGCCATGATCAAATGATCTGTGAGTTGTCTTTAACTAACTTCACATAAGGATTTTTTAAACGGGGCTAAGGAATAATTCAAGCGCTCTAAATCGTGAATGAACTAAAATTCCCATTTCTAATCGTTCTCCAATAGCACGGTGACCCGGAGACAGAGCAATACGAATAATGGCCAACGACAAACGACTTATAGACCAGTCAATGTAGTGAGCCTAAATCGTACTAACGCGGTGGTATCAGATCAGGATCGATTTTCTAGTGCATATCAGACTTATTTTACGTATACAGTTTTAAAGTGAAACAAAATATGTAGATATATAAATATATGAGCTACGACTGTGCCATTGCTGATTTCGGGCATACTAGTGCTGCGGCTAGCTTGAAGAAAGCATAATTTGCAAAGGACAGCTTTCGATTACTGGGAGTACTTTTGGAAACTTTTCTCATCAGTCTATAGCAGTGATTCCCAAACCTTATCTTATACAATGCTCAAAAAAATTGTGCTGTCTTCAGTGGATCTCCTGTTACATTCCTACCATACTCCAAAAGCTCGACAGGAAGTGTAAATATTAGATCTATCGAGACAAATTTTCATAGTTTTAAAAGCAAAAAGAAAATACTCGGAATACAATTAAACATTGATAATGAAAAACGTAACCTCTTCTGCAATACAAATCAACAGTGTAAAAAATAGTATAATAAATCAGAATCAATGTTTAGCTTTAGCTTTGTAAGGAATAAGCGCAAATCTCCCAGGACTCCAATCTTCTGCTTTTTCTGTTAACGGATTTGTAAACAACACTAATCTCTTTTAATATGAATAGGTACCAGGAGGAAAACTATATTAAACATTTTCTCACAGTTTCCTAGAGCCCAGAATATTTTTCGCTAATTTCTGTCAGCAGCCAAAACGGTTGATAGCTTTTTTAAATTTCACATTTAGCTTCACATTAGTACTAAGCTTGAGGATCTCGTCTTGTAGTATCACATTTACGACTTCCAATTCCAACAGTTGGGACTATGAACTATGATGATCTTGCCATCGTCAGAATATCGTCAAATCTGTTTTTAAGTCATCATTTAAATTTTGAACATGTTGGAATATCCTCATCTACACATTCTGACAGTAACGTGTTTGGAAACTTGTACCTTATGTTCAAGCTTCTTAAAACAATTTCCAGCAACACTTTTGTTCCTTACTATCGTAACATTTTCGTGAACGCCGACTTGCAACTTGGAAGCCCCTTTTTTTTTCACGCCCCTTGGACCCCTGAGGGCCCCATGAGCAACTTTGAGAGACACCGGCCTATAGGGTCTAAAAAGCACACGATAGTTTTTGACCATCACTGTAAGCCCGTGGCTGAGACTAGTAAGTAA